CCACTACATCTGTGGAGAGAAATAAAAACAATGCTGAAGATCACATGATAGAATAGAACAATGATTTATTCACTGCAAATACCTTTTTAAACAACCCAAATAGTGACCATACAGGTGGACCTTGCCAGATGGAATACATAGCAATCAAATTGACTACATCAGTGGAAAAAGATGATGGAAAAGCTCAATATCATCAGTTAGAACAAGGTCATGGGCTGTCTGTGGAACAACCATCCATTGCTCATATGCAAGACCAAATTGACACTGAAGAAAATTAAAACAAGTCCATGAGAGCCAAAGTATGACCCTGAGTATATTCCACCTAAATTTGAGACCATCTCAACAGATTTGATGCACTGACCCCTAATGACCAAAGACCAGAGGTGCTGTGGGATATAGCAAAGACAACATATATGAAGAAACCAAAAGCTCATTAAAATGACAGGAAAGCAAGAAGAGACCAAAATGGATGTGAGAAGAGACCCTGAAACTTGTTCTTGAACAAAGAGTAGCTAAAGCAAAAGGAAGAAATGATGACATAAAAGAACTGAGCATAAGATTCCAAAGGATAGGTTAAGAAGACAAAGTAAAGTATTACAGTGAAATGGGCAAAGACTTAGAGTTAAAATCAAAAGGCAAAAACACAGTAGGCATTTCTCAAGCTGAAAAAAACTGAAGAAAAAATTCAAGCTCCGAGTTGCAATGTTGAAAGATTCTATGGGCAAAATATTGAACAATGCAGAAAGCATCATGGGAAGACAGAAGGAGTGCACAGAATCACTGTACCAAAAAGAATTGGTTGGTGTTCAACCATTTCAAGAGGTAACATAGGATCGAGAACTGATGGTACTGAAGGAAGAAGTCCCACTGAAACTTGTCCACTATGGGTGGCTCTATTGATATTTGAATACTGATGGCATAGCTTCCAGATCATAGCAACATGCAATCCATCACAGCATGACAAACTGACAGATGGGTGGTGGAAATTTTATGATAATTTTTACGTTTTACTCTTTTCATTTGGTATCTGGAGAGAAAAGTTCTGTGAGGGAGATTGAATCTCAACATCTTTCATTCTGTTCTTTGAAGCTAGTTCATATATAAGAGAGCTTGCACAGGATGACCTAAGATTCTTCTTTAACTAAACTGAATTTTACAAATTGATTCTCCAAAATCTCTGGAAAATCACTGGCCTCAGAATCAGGAAACCTACATTCCTGCCAAGATTCTTAAACCAGTTGACCGTGAGAAACTAGCCAATCAATGTGATCTCTCTAAATATCTATTTCTAAGTTGTACAAAGGAGCTCTGGTAGCATAGTGCCTAAGGCACTTGACTGCTAACCAGAAGGCTGGCGGTTCAAACCCACCAGCCACTCCTCGGAAGGAAGGTTGGGCAATCCTACTTCCGTAGTGATACTGCCTCAGAAACCCAAGGAGGGGTCGCTATGAGTTGGGGCCGACTCGATGGCACATAACAACAACAACAACAAGTTGTACAAAGGAGCTCTGGTAGCATAGTGCCTAAGGCACTTGACAGCTAACCAGAAGGCTGGGGGTTCAAACCCACCAGCCACTCCTCGGAAGGAAGGTTGGGCAATCTACTTCTGTAGTAATACTGCCTCAGAAACCCAAGGAGTGGTCACTATGAGTCGGGTCTGACTCGAGGGCCTATGACAACAACAACAACAGTTGTACAATGAGAAAACTGAACTATATGATCTTTGAACTCTCCTATATAGTGATTTCCTCACAGCAATGAGTCAGAATAGACTTGAAAGCATCCACTAATAGCAGTTTTATCAAACTTCTTCCTGATAGTGGAATTCTGGGGGTCCAACCACCTTCTTTCATTTTGTGGTTTCTCTGTTCCTTTTAGTTGAAACAGGCAATGTTTGTGCTAATATAAGTTTTTTTTTTTTTTAATAATCTTCTGGGCCTTATGTGAATTTTACAAAGGTCACTCCATTGGACTAAAGCTTTGCCCACAAATCTTTTCAAGATAATCTCTTCTCTATCTTCGGCTTTTGCTGAGATGACTGAAGGGTAATTCTTTTAAGCTTCCTAGAGATTCTCTGGTTTGATTTGGATGATCTACAAGGAACACTTTAATCTTCTGGAAGGGTCTAGTATATGGCTGACTAATCTGATACTTTGATTTTTTTTTTCCAGGTTCAGGAAAGGTTGTACAGCCACACCCTCAGCCTTTTCTCTACATGGTATACTTAGGCTGTTTCGGCAGCTACTTTTGAATTTATCAACTTCTGTCATCTGGGTAGGCTAATAATTTCCCAATTCATTAAGCTGTGATTCTTTTTTGTTTACCAGTTTTTCTTTCAATTCATCTCTCTCAAACTTCACTATAAGCAGCAAAAAAAATAAATAAATAAATAAATAAAAAAAATCAGGCTACACCTTAAACACTTGGCTGGAAAATGACCTCAGCTAAATTTACAAGCTATTTATAAGTTCTGCTGTCTACCTAACTGCAGGAAATAATTTTACTAAGTTTTCCAACACCACATAACAAGGACTCCTTTCTCTTCAGTTTCAAAGAACAATAATAAGTAATTATTCAAAGGCTACTAGAATAAATGTTTACGAACATACCTTTCACATGTATATGTGTATATAATTATTACTATTATATCTTACAAAATTGGGGCTCAACTCACCCAAGTATAGTATAGTAACAAGATTTTTCCACATAGTTAAGATAAAAACTCCAGAGAAGACAAAATCAACACTACAGTATGTACAGAATGGAGGCAGGCTAGTTTAGTGGTAGAAGTCTCGCCTCCCATGCAGGAGATGAGGGTTCAATGCCCAGCCAATGCACCTCATGTACAGCCACCACTCATTGCCAGTGGAGGCTTGAATGTTTCTAGGATGCTGAACAGGTTTCAGCAGTGTTACAGACTAAGACATACTAGAAAGAAAGGCTTGGTGATTTACTTCCCAAAAAAATCAGTCAATGAAAATCCTATGGATCACAATGGCCCGACCCCACAGATCATGGGGATAGCACAAAAGATGATGAGGCGGTGTTTCATTCTGGTGTAACTGAGGCTGCCATGAGTTGGGAACCAACTGGATAGCAGCTAACAACACAAAGAATGTATGAATTCTACTAGTATCTTTTTTTTGATAAAACAACTGGTAGACATAATTTTAAGTGTTCCTAATCACAATGTGCTGATTTGTTTTTGGCATAGAAACCTAAAAGTAAGGAGGCAATGAGTTTTTGAGAAGGCAAAGAAAGAAGTAAGATAAGAGAGAGGAGAATTAAACCCAGCTATAGAATTTAAGAAGTATGTCAAAGCAGAGAAAAAAAAAAATCTGCAAGAGTAGAAGATGGGTAGTTCAGACCTAAACTTTAAGCTTTAGAACATTTATGTGGAATTTTTTTTAACTTTCTGTGATCACTCCTCTGAAACGTATTGTGCTGGTTGGCAAAAAACAGAATCAATGACTACAAGCTAGCACATGCAATGGAGGTGCATATAAAAACGGGATTATTTAATTCAACCAGAATTTCTTTGTGAAATGAATACAATAAATTCAGAATTGGGAACACATAATTTGAAGTAAACAAAGCAACACAAAATACATACCTTTTGAAGATAATGCCATTTTCTTCTAATTTAAATCAGAGTTATTTATATTCAAAAGTGTATTTTTCAACAGATTAGTCAGTGATCACTCAGACCAAATATAGAGACTACTTTAAAATCATATTAAGGATGGCAGAATATTCAAATTATGACAAAAACTACATTCCTTTTTTTCTCTGACATGTTACCTGTACATTCTACATTCTATTTTTCACTTCTCTGAAAAACTGCAGATGTCATTAAAAAAAGGCATTAATTCAAAGTAGTAATCCTAAAAATTGGAAAGTATAATAAGTTAACAATTCTCTCAATAAAGGTTAAATCTTATCCTACAAACCCATGTGAGTATATAATATTTACTATCAACTTTTGTTTTTAAACATGCCAAAATCATTTGGCTAAAAGGGGTGGCATCATGATAAATGAATGTTCCACAAAATCAAATGCTGCCTGATATAAATTCAATGAGATTCTAACCTTGGACTAATACATTTAAAAACAACCCTAAAATAAAATAGCATATCTTCATTTAAAATTATTAATCTATCCCAAAATCTATACATTTATATTATTAAGATGATTTTAATTCTATATAACAGAAATATAGCTCAAAACTTACACCATATCACACATTTTATCATAATCTAAATAACTATGTGACATAATGCACCTCCCTTGTTTAAATAAATGGTGTAGACATTTGTCTCCTGTGATTTGCAATGTCTTGTGGGAATTTAACCAGAACTATATAGAGAGACACTTGTATATGATTAGAATCTGGAGAAAAAAAGAGAAAGGGAGAACTATCTCAAACTACTAAGGTTAAGAACTCTCCCAGAAATACTTCAAAATCTTTACTTGAAAAGGGTCAAAAACAAAACAAGGCCAGATTATTTTTGATTCTTTAAAATAATTTCATAGCAGGTCTGGAAAAGATAATCAGTAATGACTTGGGCAGCAGCACACATTCTCTAAGAGCAAATATTTTTAGATATGGCAATAGAATATGAGACTAGACAGTTCTTAATGTATTACCTACTTTTAACTTGGAAAGAAACCAATTAGATCCTATAAGGAGTTTAGATGATGTCATGATGAACCATCTGATAAATGTTCAACACAGGAACAAATATTTAGGACCTCAAGCCAGACTCTGTGAAGGTTAAAGCACAATGTGTAAAATGAATCATGTATCATCTTCAAGGGCAACTTTTATAGATAAGAAAAAATTATACCTACCTATCCAGGGTTTTGAAATTTTATAACAACGTTATGACTATGTAAAAAATAGACTGAGAAAGCCATTGGGTTGATATAGGTTAAAAAATTGTGTATATGATCTGCTGTGAACATACACTGTATTCAGGCTATTCGATGAGATACTCACAGAATGATTGTAAGAAGGTTCCAATATCACAGGTAATGACATTTTCCCTTGAAGATTCAATTTTGTTAAATAAAAAATCTTTTCCCCCACAATTTTTTCTTTTTTCATGCGGTGTACACCATACAGTCTAAACCGAACTGCATAATTTCCAATCATCTCAGATTCAACATGATTAAATTTGAATGTTTCTGTGAAGACAGGGCATGGTCCTCTTTGGATGCTGGTTTTTGCTCTCTGTTTCTTTATAGGTAGAAGAACAAGGTGTACTTGCCATGAGTTGCCACCTGTCCTGTTATATGTTGGGATGTCTGTGACAGCTGTCACTGTTACCAGAAGCTTCTGTTCTTGTGAGTCATAGTCAAAAGTCACATCCAGTGTGCCATATTTAGCTTCTGGCTCAGGATCAAAGGGTTTGGGAAGCTGTGAAGATGATCCTTGAGCTGACATATCCTAAGAAAAGCAAATTTAAATGTTTTTAGTTCTTAATACTATTATTTAATCTACTTTGTAAATAAACATCTGCTATTTCTTTAGGAGGGTCATGCAAAAACAATTAACAATTTTGATTCACTTCCACAAAGAAATTAGTAGATAAGTATAATTAAAAGTTGTATCTGTATGGACAAGGTAGTTTAAGCAAACATTTATTATAATAAAGAAAAATTTATAATTTCATATTCACCATCACAATTTTGAGACAGTTAGATATATATTTTTATAAATGAAAATTGAAAATATGTATTCTATTGTGTATCTGTTTCTTTTACAGGAACCACTACATTTTAGTTCCAACATTATAAACAATATATCAGACAACACAATATTAGGCTGGAGAGAAAGAAAACATAAACAAAATTACAATGCCATTAAAAATTTAGTTTCCATTTTCAGGGTTTGTTCTGAAATATTCCCATCTGTACTAGAATGTAATCATATTTGGACTTAAAAATAAATGAAAATTAAAATATGGAAATGTAAATATAAAGGCCTCAAGATATTTGTAGCGAAATATTTATCCTCCACAACAAAGACCATATTTAATTCAAGTTTTTAACCAGAATTTAAAACTACATATTATTTTCTAATATTAATTACTATTGAAAATAAAGGAATACATATTTTGACAAAAGCTTAGAAAGACTGAATTTACATTTTAATTATGGGATTAAAATAAATTGTACCTATTTTACCTGCAATTGTTTCAATCCAACTATCTGGAATATAATGACAGTGTCAAATTCAGGTCTCAAATATTTCAACTACACCACTTTGCCCCTTTAAGTATTTTAATAAATTTTCAGTGTTTGTAATTTTAAAATGTGAATCAATTTTTTATCTACCATTCATTAATTTTCTAAATTTTTATTTTGTGTCTATTATGGCAATGACTACTTTTGACCTCAGTATCTTCCCTTCATCCATTTAGTCAGCAGAACTCCTTAAGTGTTAGTTGGAAATGCAATGCCTTGTAACAGACTATACTTTCCAGTCTCCTTTATAGCTGACATACCCATGTGACTCTCCTTTGGCCAATGGAATAGAAACAGAAGTTATGCGTGAAACATCCTGATCAGCTTTTTACAAAGAAATAGCTTGCCCTCCACTCTCTAACTTTCCCTACAAGCAGATACACAGATGGTATGGTACGTGTCAGCCTTGAGACCATGCAGGTTAGGGCAACACTCTACAGCATGGCAGAGTGACAAAAGGGAAGCAACTGGGCCCCCAAATGATGCTGTAGAACAAAGATGCCTACTCACCCTGAATTACCTCCTCATCTGTGGACTGCTGTTCAATGAAAGAGAAATAAGCTTCTGTGTTTTTCAGCCATTGTATTTGGGGTCTCTTTATTATAGCAGCTTAACATGTACCATAGCTAGCACCTATATTCCAGTCTCTATTTTACATGAGAGATACGATAAAGAATCAAAATTACAAATTCTTTGAATCTCATAAATTTTATCCACTAAGTCTATGGTAACCCACTTAGAATCATGTATGTGAAAAAAAAAAAGTCACAAATGAAAAACACTACTTGGGGAGAGGGAAAACACTCTCATGGAAGAATTTAGAGTTTTTAGATGCAGTATGATTAGATCAGGTAAACATACTCTTGTTTTGCAAAAATAACAACAAAAAACCCAAAGAAAAACCAAACTTTAGAGTAAAATGTTCTTAATTCATCACTTCATAACTGGTAATTCAAGATTTTTAATTGCATGATCTAGATATTTCAATTAAATATTTTCTGAAATACTGTAAGGAGGCTATGTTTTTAAGGCAATAAAATTTTTATAAGGTCCAACACAGCTATTTTCTTTCTCTTGGTGCCACCCTAATTTATTTTTTCCTGGGCAATGTGACAATTCTTGTGAAACCATATAAAGAACCAAACCCAACACACTGCTGTCTGGTGGATTCCAACTCACAGTGACCCAAAGGACAGAGTAGAGTTGCCCCACAGGGTTTGCAAGGCTGTAATCTTTATGGAAGCAGACTGCCATATCTTTCTCCCAAGGAATGGCTGGTACATGCAAACCACTGACCTTTCTGTTAGCAGCTGAGCACTTAACCACTGGCCACCACGATTTCTGATAAAATGCAAATAGTAGCTTTTATCTTTTTTTTTTTTTTTTTTAAATATACTATGTGAAATCAGATAAAAGCTACCACTCACAGGAGCTCTGGTAGCTAGTGCCTAAAGCACTTGACTGCTAACCAGAAGGTTGGTGGTTCAAACCCACCAGCCACTCCTTGGAAGGAAGGTTGGGCAATCTACTTCTGTAGTGATAAATGCCTTGGAAACCCAAGGAGGGGTCACTATGAGTCGGGTCTGACTCGATGGCAGATAACAACAACAACTCACATTCTGCAAAGAGGCAATAAGAAAGCAACCTTTTCTTTCAAGATATCTAAATCAAAGTTTTAAATAATCTTCAGCTAGCAGCAGGTCATCAATAGAGTTGATAAACTCCTTGCCATTGGATTCTTCTGAACCCTCTCTGCTCTTGCAGCTCAACTGCATTATGTGGATAGGCTCTTAGATACCTATAACCTTTATTAAACAAGATGAAGGTGAGAATTTCTATTTAATAAATGATATCCATTACAAGGATGGGAGGAAGCAAAAGGAGTTCAGAAAAACACAGGAGTGAATTTTATACTAACAGGTTATGTGTACTCTGCATCTAAATACGTACGTAATATCCATTTGTTGCATCGTTTGAATATATTCAAAGTTTCTATAGTAGACAAAAAAAATAACAAAAAACCAGGATAGAAGAAACTAACAAGTGTTAACCAGCTAGCAAATTAGTAACTGATAAAACATGGGCAAAACTCATAGGATGTATTAACCATAACCAAAACAAAAATAGATATGAGTAAAGGAGATAGCTTGTGTCATAAGCAGACTTCAGAAGATGTGTTAAAGACAGATAGTAACTTAAGTTAAAACTATGAGATGTGCTAAGATAGAATAAGAAAATATAATGGGATGTCCAAGCCATGATCATGTAATACCTGGGCTGATTTCTGTATCATTTACACATTCTGTCTAAGAAATACAGACAACACCTATGTCTGTTGATTAAGCTAACAGGCATTCAGTGGTGGTCAGGTGTATTTGACTCTGCATCTTTCCTATAGAACAAGCATGTATCTTTGGCCCAAGGCCCCCTTCTCCAAATCTCAACTCTGGTTCTTGTTATCACACCATAAGTAGGGAAGGCTGCTGAAGCAGAAAGAGTACAATAGGACATATGAGCCATGTATAGCATAGGGTGGTTGTGGTAGTTCAATTTGTGTGTCAACTTGGCTGAGCCTGGTTGAATGGCTGGGCAGCTGGTGGTAGTTATTTCCCACTATGAGACTGGCAAACAACTCCATGGTGGGATCTACCACAAGTAGCTGAGCAGCTGCCTTTGGGATATGGTCTGCTTCCTGTATTTAAGGAGAAGTTTGAGGATGGTCTCTAGCTTATGGCACACTTGGACCATGCATGTAGCTGTGTCACTGCTCAGCAGCCTGCTATGCTCTGCTGACCTTGGGACTTACAATGGACTTAAGTTAATGGCCTGCCGTGTGGATTGGTAACATTGGGACTGTGTCTTTTTCCTTGTCAACCTTGGGGCTTCTCAGGCTCAGCAGCCAGCAGCTGAGTGAAGAAATGCCTCTAGCTCCAGTGGGCCAGGAGCAGGAGGCAGAGCTGGACCCCAAGGTTGAGTGGCTTTCACCCAGCCCCTAGAGCCTGGCACTTTGAACTTGGACTTAAAGCCTGCAAATTGTAAGAATAAACTCCTGTTTGTTAAGGCCATCCCATTTGTGGTATACTTCTTGTCAGAGTGGCACTAGGTAACCAGAACAGTGGTCCTTCCACCTACTTTCCTAAGTGTATTAACCCACCTCATTCTGCTCTCTTTACTTCTTGCTTTGTATTTGAAATAGATTCACACACATACCCATCCACACCCACATATGTAATCTGAGCACCTTAATATGGTCTATGAGTCTTCTATACGGTTTGCCTGGTGGTGTACTTGGAGAATATCACTGTATCAAAGTATTCCCTATACAACAATTTACATCAGAAGGGGCAATATAACATAGTTAAGAATATTGTTTTTGCAGTTAGGCAGATCTGGGCTTGAATAATAGTTTGACCATTTAGAGCTGGTAGTACTTTGGTACACTGCTGAATTCTCCATGTCACTCTGTTTTCATTTGTAAATGGAAATAATAATTTCCTGCAGATGTGATTGTCAGAATAAAACAAACTGCACAGCACAATTGTGGCACAATTGGTAATAACTATTATTATTGTTGTTGTTATTTACACAATCTGGGCTTCACTGTTAACTTGCAGGCTAAATATATAGTTTGAAAATCTGCAAAGCAGCTGCTCAAGCTTGTTCAGATGATAGAACACAGAGAAACATTCTTTGTAGAACATCATGAAATACCAACATATTAAAATATCAATGCAGGAATTTCTTCTAGGTCAGATTCTATATTATTATTAGAGATACTAGTAACAGGCATAAAATGTTTTCTTTTTTAAAAAATATTTCTTTTATTTTATTGTGATTTGGGTGAAAGTTTACAGAGCAAATTCATTTTTCATGTAATAGTTCATACACATTTTGTTTCATGACATTAACTACTATCCCCATAATGTAATAGCTCTCTTTCCACTTCTTCCCTATGGTTACCTTTTTCCCCCCTGTATCTGTCTTTCCTATGCATTCCTGCCCTCTGAGCTATCTCCCTGTGCAAATATTGCCCTTCAGATCTCTGATGGTGGATTGTTCTAAGGAGTGTACCTACCTGGTATAAATGTTCATATTATACACCTGTCTGTTGTGGCTGGAAGCCACAGGAGTGAGTTCAATTCCAGGCCTGAATGGTGACTAGGAGCCATAGTCTTGGGGGTTTTACCAGTCTTTATCAGACAATTAAGCCTGGTCTTTTTATGATTTTTCTCCCACTCTACCCAGAATCTCTTATTTTGACAATTTTTTTTTTTTTTTTAAAGTTACAGAAGAAAAACTTAAAATGAAGGGAATTCTATCCCTAGCTGAACTATTCGGTATATTGGGAAACTACCTCTATTACTTAATTTTGACAGCAGATCAGACAATACACCTAGTAAGAACACTTATACACACTACAGTATTATGAAATGGTACCTGAGAGAAAAGTTGTTAGACTTGAAATCTGAACCTTGAAAAGAAAGCAAATCCTAAAAATAAATCCTACCTTATGAAAAACTCTAGGTTACCTCTGTAATTTTTATTATTATAGAAAGACGAAAACAAATCCTTTTTAGCATATGACAAGACCTCAAAGGTGCAGCACAACTATTTTTTGTTATCATTTCATATTTTTGCTCCAAAAAAATAAATATAACTCAACCACTAACCACTGTCAAGAATTCATGATATAAACTGAAATTTTATTAGCCTTCCATATTCTATATATGAAAATGCAATAACATTATTTTGAAGGATCTGTTAAGTAATATTAATGAGTACTCTCCCAATAGTAAAAAAAAAAAAAAATAGTAATTAAAAACCCACAAACGTAAGTAAGATGAAACTAGGAGATAAATAATTCCAGAATGTATCATCTAAAGTGATTAAAAAAAACCCAAACAATCCATCTTGAAGTTGAAACCTGAGGGAAGATTAGTTTTCAGTCTTGTCTGTTGCTCTCATTTTTAGCTACCCATTTTCTTTTTGGAAGGAGTTGAGGATTGGGACAGCCCTGACAAGTTTGTTGAATAAATATTAAATCAAGGATGAAAGCTGGAATCACAGCCACAAAGGATAGATAGTGATGAAACGGATTCTTCTTACTAAGAGGAGCAGCACAGGATCATTATCCTCCAAATCACATTCATTTAAAAAATTCTATGTGCTTTTACTTACTTCAGGGCTCAGGACTGCAGTGCTGTCACTTGGAACATCTTCTTCATATCCTTTATTATGAAAACTTTCTATTTCATGACCTGTGCTTCCTTCACTTGGGCACTTGTTATATGAGCATCTTGGACTGTTGCTGCAGTGAGAATATTCACATTTACTGTCCCCAATTTCTGAGGGTGTACATGAGAGATGGGGAGAACCACTGTCATCCTGATATGGTGGTGGCTGCAATTCATCCAGTGGGGGTGTTCTTCTCATTCTCTGAATGCAGTTTCCTGATAACGATTAAGAATCTGGTCACTGTTTCCAATTAGCTTCACATGCAGTACAGTCTATAATAATTGTAAATAAGTTAAAGAAAAACTGGATGAAAGAGTTTGTGGCGATGTAACTATTAGCTTTACTAGTGAGTTTTCTTCTTCTCTAGTTCAGAAACAAAAGTAAAAAAATCTGGTTCCCCACCCCTCTCCTGTATAATAAGATTAGGAAAAATGAAAGTCATATATTAAAAGATATCCTGTCATGTACCATAAAAATAGGAGGACAATAGTATTAGTAAAACAGTTTGTTGATTTGGTTTTCCCTCTTAGCATATATACTTCATTATTTATTCTCTTGTGATGTATGGTCTATTTAACCAAAGCAATAAAAAAAAAAGTCTCTTTTGTTTTTTATCAGTTACTGAGATGATCTTAAATTAGCACTCAGCAGAGTCAGAAGCTATTTTTCTACATCCATCCTAGAACCAGAATCCTAAAATGAGATGCACTATAAATCAAGCCCTAATCTCTGCTTGCTAACCTCCATTAGTCAGCAAAGACTGAAAACTGTATCTGTTCCCTATTATAAGGTTACGTCCATTCCATTCTATATCTACGTATATATCCCTTTTAAAGTATGGTGCCATCTTGTCTAAGCAGGCATCTCTACATCTAACAGCTAATTGACATTACATTTTCTTTCATTCTCAAATGATTATTTAAATTTTTATCTCAGTGATCAAGAATAAAAACACCTGTGAGAGAGGATGTAGATGTAGGTAGGAGATGGGTGAAAGGAAATAAAGTTCAGTATAGAATTTAAGAATAGCTAATTTTGTGTAGGTTAATTCTGAAAGCAATACCAGATATTAAATTTAAACACTGTTATTATTTTTTTCTTTTAATGGACTATGTATTTCCTTTCTTAAAAAAGGATTCTGAAAAGGGTAGCTTGCATTATAATTCTTCTAGTAGAGTTCAGTTCAAATATTCAATAGTTTCTCTGTTCTTCCTAAGAAAGAAAAACTTTACACAAGAACTATAGTCTCATTTAAAAAATAACCACAATGCCTAGTTCAAAAGAAAAATACTAATTTGCATGAAGTTAGCACAAATTTACATATTTGCTCAGGAGTCCTAATTTTGGAAAAAAAAATGTCATCTAGTAAGTCTAATATACTAAGTCTAGTTTACAAAACGTAGGTAAAAAGTAGAAAAGTTAATGAATTAATATAAATGAAGCTAAATTAAAGAAAAGAGGATAGATTAAACAGACACATTGCAAGTACTAGATAACCAAGCAAACTTAGAGTTATATAGAGTTAAGTGGCCTAAGCAATTATCTGGCTTAAACCATTTATGTGAGATATGTTAAGTATGTATGGCTGGCACAATTGATTGGCTGATGTTATCAAATCCATAACCTCCTTCTTTCCCTAGGTGCACTCCAAATAGGGGTGATAAATGAGACCTAAGCAAAATATTTCAGGGTGGGGCTTCCAGGAAAACTTTTGCTTTTTCATAAAAGCAGGCTGACTCAACCGGCATCTCTTTTGTCCCTTCATCTTCCCCCTTCCTTTTGCCTGGAGGTGCAGCAGCCATCTTATAACCATGAAGTAACAAGCATGAGAATGAAAGCTAAGGATGGAGAAGCAGAAAACTGGAAAGAGCCTGGATCTCTGAAATAATCACTGAACAGCTATTCCCAAATGTAGCTTCTTGATGCCTGAGACAAATAAATTCTATTTGTTAAAATAACTGATAGATGTGCTTTCTGTTATTTGTTTCCAAATATATTTGTAACTGGTACAGTTTATAAATCATGAAACCAACAACTCCTCCCCACATTTAAAAGTGTATGTTACACCAGACAATGAATTAAATATTAAATGTTAATACCAACATACTTACTATAAAATCAAGTCAATTAAAAATTTCTCAATGTAGTATTTCTAGGAGTCAGCATATTTTTTTTTCCTTTATCTTTTTTCTTAAAAGAGAGGTAATCTTTTCCGGAAGTCTCTCAGCATACTGCCACACTGATCTTATTGGACGGAACTGGGTAATATGTCTTTTCTTAAACTGTTTACTGATAAGGGAAATGGAATTACCATAAATGACTTACATTAATCAGAAGCAACAAAATTTGAAGGTGGGAATGGGGCCAGCTCCACTGTTCACACTACACAGAGAAGAGTAGATGCTTGGGCAATGTAGAAGGAATGATGAAGGTAGAAAATGGTTGTTGGGGAGAAAACCAACATGATCCTTGCCTTCCTTATCCATCAAGATGTCAATTCTCTGTTTTTACCTTTACTAGACTATCTTCCTGCTTTGTGGCTCTTTTTTTTCCTCAATAGACTTTGCACTACAGTATGGCATAGTGGATAAGGTATCTGATTGCTAACCAGAAGGTCAGTGGTTCAAACCCACCAACTGCTCCATGGAAGGAAGATTGGGCAATCTACTTCTGTACAGATTTACCACCTTGGAAACCCAATGGGGGTTGCTGAGTCAAAATCGACTTGATGGCAGTGAGTTTGGTTTTGGTATTTTTGGTTCAGTACAATATAATTTGTGTTTGGTAACAATGTTATGTGCTATTATCTTTTGTTTACTTTTTTGTGTTAGGTCCCTGACTAGTTTCCAGCCAGCTAAGGTACTTACACAACTGAGCTCGAGCAATCTAACTTTCATTTAAGATTCAGTGTAACTGTTCCACAAATCAAGGCATAAGCTACTCAAAGTAAGTTTGGTGAAAAAATGTTAAGTAGGCTTAGTAGACAGACTTTACTACTGTTTTTTGAATTTAAAAGAAACAATGTGAAAGCTATGCATTGGAATGTATAAATTATTTTGGACAGACCATATCCTCAAACTTTAGAAAATAATACCACATTATTCTCTTCTTTATTTTTGCACTTTGATTTTCAAAGTAAAGAATATGCAAATGTATCTGGAATAAAATTTCATTAATAATATGTAGCTCATGATTCCACCTTTTGAAAATTTTCACAACTAAAAACTACTTCATGGTGTCTATACAGTGTAATAACTGAGTTAGCTGGCCTACATTTAATTGATACTGGAACATTTTTAAGAAAGTTGTTTTATAAAGAAACAACTTCTATTATAACTATTATAGTTCATGGTAAACATCAAGGTTAAGAAGACATTTCTGGTGGAACTATCAGACAGCAAAATGATGATGTCTTCCCATTACTTTGTTCCTTGTTTTACTACCTAATTTTATACCTTTGTTTTTATGGAAATGATATATCTATAAAAGGATTCATGTATGCGTGTATATACACACACACATATATATTTTTTAAAATTTTTATTGTGATTTGGGTGAAAGTTTACAGAGCAAATTCATTTTCCACACAGCAGTTCATATACATTTTGTCTCATGACATTGACTACAATTCTCCACATTGTAAAAGCTCTCTTCCCACTTCCTCCCTATAGTTAACTCTTCCCTGTGTTCTTCCCTCCCATGCACTACCACCCCCTGAGCTGTCTCCCTGAGGAAACACTGTCTTTCTGTTCTCCCAAGATTGATCACTCCAAGGAGTATATCTACCTGATGTAATTGTTTAGCCCATACACCTGTCTATTGTTTGGCTGGAAGCCACAGGAGTGAGTTCCATTCCAGACCTGAAGGGTGGTTAGGGGGCATAGTCTCAGGGGTCTCACCAGGCTCTAACAGACCAGCAAACCTGGCCTTTTTCTTTATGATTTTGAGTTTTGCTCTGCATAGTTCTCCCACTCTATACAGGATCTTCTGTACCAATTCCCCTCTGAGTAGTTAAGAGTAGCAGCCATGGATCCTCTAGCTTTTCTGGTCTCATGATCATATAGGCTGAGGCTCACATGGTCTATCAGTCCCTTGGATTAATTGTTTCCACGCTTCTTTGGCTTTCTATGTTTTTTTTTTTTTTTTTGCGCTAGACAAGGAGAGACCCATTGTTGCATCTAGAGAGCTGCTTGCAAGCTTTTAAGACCTCAGTTGCTACTCACCAAAGTAGGATGTAGAACAATGTTTCTGTGTAGTATGGTTATGCCAACTGAGCTTGATGTCCCCTGCAACCATGATTCTGAGCCCAGAGGTCCAACTACTCACTCCCTCTAGGTAGCTGGCTATGGCCAAGATTCCACCACAACCTTGCCCCTCACCACCTCTACCTTATACACCTGGACATTCTTACAGTGCATGCAAATATGCAAGTAGAAACATTTTAAACATTTAAATTTATTATCTGCAAATTGTATAGCACTGAGAAAACAAGACAAAATATCCTCCTACCCTAGAAAAAGCAGGATGCATGCATACCAGGAATGTAACCTGTAGTTCTCTGGTGGCGTAATGCCTAAAGCATCTGATTGCTAACCATGAGGTTGGTGATTCAAATCTACCAGCCACTCTGCAGAAGGAAGACTGAGCAATCTACTTCTGTAAAGATTTACCACCTCAGAAACCAAAAGGGGGTTGCTATGAGTCAGAATTGATGTGATGGCAGTGAGGTTTTTTTTTTTTTTTTTTTGAGTTCTAAATATTATGTTTTCAGATGGTGGTTTTCAAAGTTAAAGAACGTCTGCTCTATAAAGTGGTAAAGAACTCAGGAACTGTATAATATACTTTCAAATGTCTGGGAAATTTTACCAAAATTAATAATATAATAGGCAATAAATTAAGGTTTAACATATTTCAAAAAATACTTTTAGTATAAAGTGGATATTTCTAGCCACAGTAAAATTAGATATCAGAATCAGAAACATAACTAGAAAATCTATAGAAATCTAGAAAAAATTAACTAGAAATTAAAATATTCTTCTGAAAAACATGGACTAAAAGAGAAATCATGGAAACTTCCTGCAAGATGGCAGACAAGCTACTAAGGCCCTCTAAAACACAGACAAGAAAAACCAAAAGAAATAGATATGGATTATAATCCTGGAACCCTGAGCTTCAAAGGAAAGGATAAAGAAGTAGATCAAATACCAACTAGAAG